TTTGACATTCGGGGTAGCTGTCCATTTTTGCCTTGCCTATGTTTGTTGAGAATGTTTATTTTGCTCAGTTATTGGTTTATCAGGTTTTTTGTGCTTTCTTTGTTGTAATTTATGGATTGGGCTCTGCTAGTTGCCCCAGTCTTCTAACAACTCACAACTGTGATTCATTAGACTGACTTAGCTCTTGTTCAAGTCACAACACTTTCCTGTATTCATGAACTCCTTCGCTTAATTCAGTCTGTCAAAACCTGCTGTTAATATTGTTTTTACATAACCAGTGTGAAACAGAGTCTCACAGACCTTAATTTTGGATTTGTTTGTTACCGTTTGGGAGGTTTCCATGCTGTCTAATTTTGTTTGTTTCAGAGTGAACCAGTCAGAGTCTCAGTTTGAATCTTTTGAAGCTAAAGATTAAGATAATGACAGTGAGGTCTGACTCCAAAGGCTGGTCAACATATTCAGCATATATAAATTATATAAATATCACTACAGATCTAAAAGCAGCAAAAAAAAAAGCTTGCCTACTGATTGAGTGTAAATTGTTTTGTCAAATGTAAATTTGTTTGGTGTCACTGTTGCAATTTTTTTAATTAATAGCTTAGAAACAAAAAAAGAAACATAACCTCTTTAAATATCATATTTGTCCTTTAAAATGCTCCTCTGACAGGTTTACAATGATGTCCATTGAGTTTTGTGATCCTGATAAATCCTTGTTGAAAATATAAATACTAAAGCCGACACTGTGGACTCATTGTGTAATAGATAAAAGATAACAGAATCTATGTAATAGATGTCTAGCCATGAGCAAGGACAGTTTGTTTTTGGAACAGGCTGTGTTTCTTTTTAAATCTTTTTTTAAATCTTGACTACTTGTGCTTCTGTCTTAATGACCAACCGCCTCTTCTCTAACCCAGTTACTTAGTTAGCCATAAGTACACAAAGTGAATGTTTTTTCTCCCCCTTTCAAAGATAAAAACTCAAAGGTTTTTTAAATCAGGAGTTACACTCGAACGTGCTGTTCTCCAATTACAATTTCATTATATTTCATAATACTCAATCTATAGCCAAATTAAATAATCTTGAGTCTCACTTTATTTGATGAAACCAGATTTGAACAGATCAAAGAGTATAAATGAAAGCAAATTTGAGCAAAATCATGCAACTTTTATCTTTAAGGAGTTGATCAATTTAACATGGCATGAGCCGAGAGCTGTTACGATATAAATGGATCTGCAGAGTGAAACAATGGCCGTAATTGCTGACATTAAAATACTCTGGCCCAAATGACTCTGGTGGCATGCTTTATAAATAACAGCATGCCAGATCCAGCACTAACAGACTACGGTTGCTTTGATGTTGTCAGTGATGGCTTAGTAACTTTCCGAAGTGCAAACTTTTAATCTGTAACTGGAGGGGGCCAGTTTGGCTGGGTTTGACACCTCAAACTCAGATTTTTCCTATGTTTATGGACCCGCCGCTCAAAGAACACTAATGGCATAATGTTATGAGAGTAAATATCATAAATGGGGCTATAAATGAACTTGACTCTGTGGCCCATGCTTTGACAGATTTATTGGTAGCCTGTTCCCAAGGCTGTTATGAAACAGGGCCTTCTAGCAGAAACCATACCAATGTGCCTGGCATTTGTCAGCCAGAGGAGCTACAGCTTTGCAGAACAGCTTCTCATTGAAGGGACACTTTGTCAAGTCCACTATATCTAAAATACCCACCGTCTGGAGAATATCCACCATTAATAGTTGAAAGGTGGTTAAAAATGTATTTTAGCGGCTTGGGACTAGACCTTTGAGAAAGTTTTTGAAAATAAAGTGACATTCTCCTTCACTGTCAAAATAAACTATATTCAATGAAAATACAATTTTACGGATTATTTGTATGTGTTCTGTCTACCATGTTTCCTGGCATACCAAATAATTACCATATTTTATGAATTAGTAACTGATTTTCTTCTTCTATAGGAAGAAGCAAGTTGGGACCTGATCAAACCTTGTGTGGAGCCTGATAACCAAAGGCAAAAGTGCTTTTCCTTATAGAAAACTAAATAAAGTCCATAACTTGGAACTATGTAGCTGTACCTATTGCAGCCAGAACCTGGCGGTGTTCCAGGACAGAAGTCAGGAGGGATTGTAGCACCTGAAACTACAACATTGCTGGATTTAGTTTAGAAGGCCTTCAGTCTCCTTGAAATGTTTCTAAGTCCAGCTATAATTCTAGCAGTAACATTGCTATACTAGCAATTAATGAAGAATACACTTCACATAAAGCAGGAAGGCTATGTAAATAACACAAAATTAGATTTGATTGAAGTTTAGGTTGTGGTCATTTCTCCTACAGAGCACCTAGATGGCAGCTGCCTGTCATTGATGAAAGCTTGGCAGCATATAGTAGTAAAGCAGGTGGACAATTTCCTTCTGGGCACAAGGTTAAATTGGGAGTAGTCTCAACAGGTCATTGCTCAATTTTACATTCATTCATATACTGAAACTCATCGACTATATGCAGTTAAAAAGCTGGAGGATGGAGGCTGGTGATGCAAGGACAGGCTGAATGATTGAGGTCAATTGACCTCTGCAAGTTGAGAAATCTAACAAGTAGCATTGTGCAGTCAAAATGAAAATGTTACATATTTAATTTTGGCCCATTTAAATATATGCACTCACTGGTTGCAGCCTTATGAACAAGAAAAGTCTAATTATAATTCTGTTAGTTCATGAAGGGAAGCTTACACCTTAAAAGCTAAAGAGCAAAATCTAATTCAGAATAAGGACATTTTAAAACAATTAAAATTATATCTAAATCTAACCCTAAATGTACAAAAACACACAACAGATACCACACTATTATTTATTGCTCAAATATGAACTCAGTATATGAATAAACTGAGCACAGCATATGACCCAACACTTATAGATCATCATAAATCCACCTTCCACAACAATAACTCTCAGTAGCATTTTCTGGCTCACTAAATCAGGCTTGTGGAGTCAATTCAGATCACTGCTCAGTTCATTGACATTTCCACAGCTCTACTGAAGTCTCTCTACGAGTCTACGGCATTTCAGGTTGACGTCTAGACTCCAGAGTTTAACTGGGCCACTGCTGAAATTGTCTCCTCTTTACCGAGCCGGTCACATTGAGGGTAATCAGTTTATGATGATCTTTAATGAGCAGCGCCTGCCTGCTTCTCTCCTTAAAGAGGCAGTATTACATAGAAAGCCCAATGACTGCTTGCAGAAACGATAGGTCACACCAGGAGCTGCCTTTTCCACAAAGCTCCAACCCGTAGCTGCAGTTTCCAAGCCGAAACTGCAGCTCCCAGAGCACCCGTCCCTTGGGACTCCCGCACACCGCTCCTTTAGACTATCGGCAGCAGCAATTAGCAAACACCTGGTGGAACTTCACATGTGGTGAGCTCGTTATACAAGCTAGTTCTCAGTGAAACGCTGGTAAAATGTTACTGCAGAGTTAATAGAGGAATGTTGCGATGACACGCTGAAGGCGTGGCGTCAGAAAGAGCAGCTTCTTAAAGAGACAGAGTCCCAATTTCAAGGCGCTAAATTGCAAAGTCAAATTTCTTGTCAGTCATGTTTTATATACAGCCTTTTTATAACAACTAAAGGTAACAGTCATTTGATTGTGCTATAAAATCACACTGTCTGGAAAAAACATTACACTACCTTTTTAAATCTTGTGGAAGCAGAAAGTGTGTGTGGAGTATGTCTACAACATTTTAGTTTTAGCCTTACCATTGTGAAACCACATTGTGGAAGGTGTCTTTGTAAGTTTGAATAATTTTCCAACGTGCAAACGAGCAAAACATGTTCATCATTATGCCTTGCCTGTTTTTTTCCACCCTTAAAAATAGCGCAATGGTGTTCAAAATAAAAACAACTCTGAAGTCATTTTGACTGTTCAATTTTTAAAGATTTGCGAGCAAATCTTTAAAGGAGAAAGTCTTCCAGAGACAAAGCAGTGAGAAGAAACTGAGCAAGATATCAGCTTTCATTGGGAAAACAATTTGCAGGACATGCAGATATAAATCTATATTATTTTTCTTTCTTTCTTTTTTTTCTTTTTAAACAGTGGGAGCAAACTAGAGTACCAAGAGAAAACCCACACACTCACTGGGAGAGCATGCAAACTTTATTTAGCTGGCCCTCCCCCACCGACTGGAATTCATATCCTGACAAACTTGCTGTAAGGAAACACTGCTAGCAGCTGCTCCACCGTGCCGCCCAGCTTTACAACCAGTATCAAAGAAATTAAGAAAACATATTACGTCTGAAAATATTATGTTGCAGATATTCTATATGTGGTTTCCTCTAGCCTTGGCACCAAAGTAACCCAGCAACCAGCCTTATTTTTTAATGTTTTTTGTTTAAAAAACACTTTATTTTTAACCCTAGAGACAGATATGCAAAAACTGAGACACTGAGTCTTTTCTTCAATTTTGACACAGAAAGGAAGAAGCTGCAGGTGCTAGAGAGACAAACCTGCATTAATACAACCTATCACAGGTAGACTATATTATATGAAAATAGTCTCCTGAGTCAAGTTTTATTTTTAATACAGTGTTATTAAATATTCATAATAAATGAATATATTCATTATTAGGCAGGGTTTTACCCAGGCCTGTATTTATAAAGACTTATGCCATCCAATGGGGACAGATCTACCAATCAATCACATTTTGCAGGCTGCTGCTACGTTAACACCCCCTGCCAGCGGCCGCTCAGGAAGTGATACATTCATTAAGTTCATACATATGCAGAGGGCACCTGGGCTCCAGAAGCCAAGGAAATCAGATGTACCCACTGAAAGAAATGATCACACTAGCTACAACCTTCTAAGAATCAGTGGTTCTGGTCAGGCAGTGAGCAATGTCACGGAAATGTGAATCAGAGCTGCAGAAGATTCCTAATTAGTTTTTTAGCATCGGCTACCTCTACCCCTCCCTCCATGTAGCTGAGCATCGTACTTACCACAGCGCCATTCATCCGCTCCATTGGGACAGTCTTTGTGTCCGTTACACTGCAAAGCTTGAGGGAGACATTGACTCATGTTGCCACAGGGAAACTGGCCAAGGGGGCATCTTGCCTCTTTCTCCGAAGTGCTTGCCACCAGAGCTGCAAGACATAAAAGCAGGAAAATTTGTCAAAGAGCAACTTAACTCTTTCGACTAAACCAACTCCACAAGTTGTTGCGGATTCTCACTGAGAGCACAAATATTTTCAACACCTGCAAATGATAGATTTTAATGAACGTGAGCTCTTAAATTTGTCATTCATATGTGAAATAAATAGCTTTGTGCTTAAAACTGCACCCCAAGCTCTCTCAAAGGCTGTATTTTGTTTTTCATTGGTAATCATCCTATTTTGAAATTTTAAGATTTGCTTTAATTATGTTTTATTGATTTTCTTCTGCGCTGTGAAAATCTAATGTGGTAGCAATTAGCTGCAGTACATAATCCTCATCTTGTGCGACATCTGCATTTTGCTAGCTAATTTTGTCTCCCTTTTTTAAGTATTTGCTCAACCATAACATTATTTTCAGGTTTTCCGATCGCTTCCATGGAGAGAGTTAAATAATCTAGCACTAAGGCATGCAAGACAAGAATAGATAACTCTCAGGAGTTCAGCGAATTCCATTGTACCGTAATGGTAAATCACCTGTGCAAAAAGTTCCGCTGTAAAACGTCCTGCTACAAGATATTTCACTGTGCATAGCTAGGAGAAAGTGGAATTGATTGAGTGCTGAGCCAAGTAAAAATCACAGAGCAGAATATGACTGTCATGGTCTGCAGAGGTCCCCACCTTTCTGCAAAATCAACAGATAAAAATCAGCACATTATCTTGGCCTTCAGGTGAACTCAAGAATAGTCAATAGCTGTGGGATTTGGAACACAGTTCTAATACAAGCGTGCACCAATACACAAAGTAATAGTAGTGACATGGATAAGCAAGTATGATGAGTAAGATCTTAAATAGTCAACAGAGTCATGACATCAACCCATTTACCCTTAAAATGGAGCAGAGACTATGAGTCAGGCAAGAAGGCTTGGAAATGTGGTCCAGGAGTCCCATGAATACAAACTTTGAGTAAAGCCTTCAAAAATTGTGTTAAGTTGTTGTTATTCTACGTAGTTGGAATGGGTTGTCGTACAAAGTCATACATGAAGCCGGACAACCAAATACTTTTGACAGCAAAGTGTATGTGTAAAAATAAAGGGGTGGTATTATGCAAAATCAATATTTTGAAGTTTTACATCATGTTATGCGATTCCCTCACCAAGAACAAAACCATACTGTTTCGACTCATTCTTGCATGTTTGAGAATGAGTCTCCCGTGGCAAACATGTGGGATGCCTAAAGGCTGCCTTTAAAAGAGAACACTGTCTGGAAACTGCTGGTATTTTTGGATGTTAATTAGGGAAAATGTCCACACCTAGACGGCACCGCCAAGACACCTTCAGTCAGCTGTAGTTGTCATGCCAGGCCTTCGCTTCCACCTTACTGTAAACAGTAAACTGTTTCATGTGACATTTATTCCTCATCAGGGATTGCGTTAAACTAAACAGGTTAAGTAGAACAACGAGTCACAACGCCGTCCGTCATTGTTTTTGTCGTCTTCCGCCCTCATAGGCGTAGAATAAACCCTGCAACTGTGCAGCCTGTGCAGGTATTTCAAACAAACACTGGGATGTTACAGAAAAGTTTCACTCTGAGACTTGGTTTCAAAAAAGCCAGTGTGAGAGACTCCAGTCATCGGTGTCGTGTAAATGTGTGACTGGTTTCTTGGGAGCGAGTCACAAGAGCTCCCAAGAACAATTGTAAATGGCATCAATGAACGCCTTTGATCTAAAAAACTGATATTTTGTGATACATGCCGCACTAAAATCAGTGATGCTCCTCCATGCATTTCTACTGCAAGGAGAAGCAGTATTATGTTTTCATGATGTAAAGCACTTTTTTCTCCCTTCTATCCAAATAAATTTGATTGGTTGTTGTAATGATGTGCTGAAAGAGGAGTGTCAGAAAGGGTAGGCAGTTCTTAAAGAGTCCAATTTCCAGGAGGCAGTGGAGCTATTATGTGAACTCAAATTTATTTTAAGTTGTTTGAGATATAACCACTGAAGGTATCTAGTGATAGTGATAGTTACTTGAGTGTGATATAAATTGGCAGTATGTACCAGGAACCAACTTTTTAGGTTGGTTATATGTTTCTGTAAATCTGAAGCTTATTTAAAAAAACAAAAATGTGACTTTCTATTTGTTGTATAAGGTGACTTCTCATCTCTTCTAAAAATCTGGGTGATATTTTGTGATACCACCCAGTAATCCTTTCGTTTCACAGTTGGCATTAAAGATTAAGGTTTTATTTGAAAAGCCATGATATTTTTGCCATCTAGTTTTATAACCTGATGACCTCAGGGTTTAAATGTATATAAAAACAACTTCACCAGCCAACCTGTAATATGTACTGTAGGTGACCTGGGATATTCCTGGATCAAATAAATGAGCCTAAAACGATAAAGTTTTCATTTCTCTTCATTCTTGCATCATTTCCTATTTGGTGTATTTCCTCCTCACACTTAAAGAAGCAGACCTTTATGGTTACTTATTTTTTCAGATCTCCCTCAGTGGCCGTGGCCATAAAGGGACATTAGCTTGAGGCCACTTTTTGCTACACTAAACAAACAAAATGAAACATGTTTGCTCTTTGTATTAGTTAAGTTGCTTTTTTTTTATTCATTTGTGTCTGCATTTTCATTTAGTTGTGTTGTCCAAATTAGAGTCAAGACAGAATGATCAGCTGAGCACTGGTCCATTCCAGCTCAATGATGCACACACTAGTGCATCATTGGCTCCTCTTAATGAGGCTGAAGTGTCCCAGACAACTCATCTGTGAACTTTTCTGGGCTCCCCTGTTAGCATTTTATGTTTGTTTTGCATAAGACAAAGTAGTTTTTCCCTTCTCCTTTCTCCTTGCTCAGCGGTAACTTGTATTTAATTTGCATCTGGGGGGAAAAAATGATAATTTGCCACAAAAAAAGAATAATAATAATTACTGCCCCCGATGCACTTTGGCAGTGCTGCTAACCACTGCTAATAAAGCTTTATTTTATTAAAATAACATTCAATATTATGATGATGAACGAATATTGGGAGAGAGGGGATTTCAAAAGACTGCAATTTAAACATGTCGTTTTAACTGCGTTTTAATTAAATTGAATTCTTAATTAGTGGGCTTAATGAGAGAATGATTTATGATCATAACAATTGGATTAAATTTAAGACAACCAGATCTAAACTGGACTTTCTTATGTAAAAATGCCGCAAAGTGACGTGTTTGGATTTGGCACAACAAAAATGAATGTAACATTTTTATTGTTGCTATCAAGTATCGCGATTTAAATTAACACATCCAACACAAACTGAAGCAGAGATTTTTGGCTGTGACTTCAAGTTTTCAATCCAAAAACCCGAAGAACAGAGGATTATATTGCTCCAGAGCACTACTTTCTCTGTAATAAATCAATGTGAGCATCTGAATAAGATTTTAGCTCCAAGTTTGAAGGATTTGACTCTAATGAATATTTTGGATGTGGCGCAGAGTGTAATTAGTATTGATGGATGCAATGTGCAGATGAATTATTTATCAAACTAAACCACGAGGTGTATAAATGAGAATTTGAATGGGGGACCTGATACACAACTCATGTAAACAGCATAATTGAGGTATTAAAATCTCAAAAGTGTGAACAGTGGTATCTCTTTGCATGCATCCACTTAGTAAATATATTTCTGCTCATATTTCTGGTGCCAATTTGGAGGAAGCAAGCCACGATTCAAACACAAAACAAGCCTTTGACGTGTAAATGAAAACAACATGTTAACTTATTTACCAATATATAATTTCCGAACTTTCCATTACCGTTCAAAGCAAGAAGTCGTAAAAGAAAGATTTTCTTAGATATCCTAATATTTACAACAAACTTGTAGAGGTGGCAAAACAAAAACAAAACAAAAAAAAAACAAAAAACAAATAAAGCCTCTGCCATCTTGTCATATCTGAACTGGCAGTCTGTAACTCTGCTTTGTGCTTCTTTTAGCTTTCAGCAAATCAAATCCAGTGGTTCCGTCATCGTGACGATGGAACAAAGAAAACAGCCGTCCTGCCAAATTTAGGTAGAGTTTGTAGGTGAGCATCAATCATCTATCACTACAGTTTCTGGCCTTCACTAGAGGCACCCAAAGGAAAAATCTCACTCTCTGAGTTGCTAACCACCGTGATATGAAAGTGTCTGGGTCTGCTGCTTGGGACGGTGTAAGGAATTCACACTGGATTTTTGAATTGCTTTTATAATAACAGCCGCCTCCTGCTTGATTTCCTTTATTTTCTTTCAGCCTGGTGAAAACAGCAAATCATGGGTAGGTTTGAGCGGAAAGTAAATCTACAACTTAATAATGATCTAAGACATCAAAGTTATGCGTAGATTCTTTAAATGATAATCTTCCAAACAATTTTTATTTTTATGAAGGCCATTTGTATAAAAATGTGACACATGCGCCTTGTTAAATGAGCTATATTGCATATGAAATACACTGGCAACATATACAATAAAGCCAGTAAAAAATCAAACTATGAGAAAGGGATATAAAAAAAATATACTTTCAGTCCTAATAACAAACAACAATAATACACTTTTACTGCCTCCCTGGTGAAACTATTGTTTATTCTAATTTTAATATCACACTAACAAGAGGGGTAGAATTAAAAAAGCAAGAATAGGCATGGAAACAAACAAATTTTAAAGTTTATAAACAGATAAAAGGTAGCTATTTTATTTTAAGGCACCATTTCCAAAACAAGAAACTTTTCCAGGAAGCAATCCAGATTTCTGCAACATTATTACCCAATCCTGCATTTCTGGTGGGTAAACCAGGTTGTAAACAAATTAGAAGGGTATTAATTTACCAAATCAAGGCACTAGCAATGAGGAAGCACCTTCTCATTTACTGGGTACTTTTAGACAAAGTGTTATATTAGGAAAGTGCTAATTATTTTGAAATTAATTGAATTTTCTAAAATTATAACTGTCTGGTTTCACTTCTGTTAACTAACT